ATTGGCATATTCTTGATTGTGTGGATGTATGTGATTAAGCCTGTAGAAATCGAATATGAAGTTGCTTGTAAGTGAGTTGTTTGTGCCTTTATGGAAGTTTTAATGTATTCTCGAAGTGTGACTATTTGATCAACCTTGAGAGTATCGTTAACTTTTTAAATATATGCAGATCTATTTCTTGGTATCCATCTGATTACACAAAATTCATTTAAAATTCTCGTTGTTTTATAGACAGGAGATTAAATGTTAATAGTCTAGATTTGAATATAATGACATTCCTCTGATATAGTTGAATTGTGAAAAGAAATTCTAATAAATAATATAAAATTCGAATAAGGGATATTTAAACAAGATGTTGAATGAATGTTAGAAGTGAATAATTGAATCTCTAAATAATCTGATCGAACTATTTTAATATTCAATGAAATAAATATTTTGTGTTTTTTATTATTTTAATTTAATTTCGTGTGAGAATGAACAAAAAAGAAAAGGTGAATATATTAAAATAAATAATGTTTGATTAAAATAAATAAATATAATTGATAAAAATAATAAATATTGATAAATGATAATGATAATGATAATGATAATGATAATGATAATTAGCAATATTATTAATAAAAAAATCATAATTAATTGGTATTAATAATGAATATTGTTTTATTTGTGTATGATATGTTGTTTCATAAGATAAATAATTTGATTGATTTTTATTTATTGAATAATAATTAAAAAAAGCATTTTTCATAAATGATAATTGAAAATCTTGTTGAATAATATCAATTAATTTATCAGTTAATAATTGATTATTACATTGATTATATTTACATGTATATCGAATTATTTTATGTTCTCCAATATTTATTTTATTTAATATATTTTCTTCAATTAAAATCATATTTATTGTTATATGAACTTCAATTAATGCTTCAGAATTTTTATGACATTCAAATAAATAATTTTTATGATAACTTGAATATTTTCCTGAACAAACACCTGTTGAACATTTCGATAATTTAGCTTTATCAATAAAACAATATTCTAAATGAATAATAAAAATAAATTTGTTGATTTAGAAAATGAAAAATATTAACCTGTATGATTAAAATCTTGAAAAAGAATTGATCTTAAATTAGTTTCAAATTGAGTATAATTAATATTTATAAGCCAATCAATATGATGATAAACAAATAATTTATTACATTCATCTTGATCATAACAAGCATATTCTAAAACATTATAATAATCAGCTTGTGTTATATTATCTTGATTAAACATAATTAAAAAATCTAAACGTCCTTCACCATGATCAAGTTTACTCCATTGAAATGAATCTCCAAAACTAATTATTAATAATCGAGATTTATAATCAACATATATTTCAACTCTACACATATCAACATTATCATCATTATAATCATAAACAGGATATTTATCAACTTTTTCTTTAAATATATCATTATTTAAATCATCTAATGACCATTCAGATGATCCTTCAGAATAAATACAATATATTCCAAAGATTTCTAGAGGAATATTTAATAATAACAATAATAATGTGAATAACAACATCCTTTTTTTAACTATTTACATCGAATGAATCTTAGTTTTTTTTTTCTCTTATATTAATATCCGGATTTCTTTTTTTTTGTTTTTTTATTTTTTATTATATAAATCAATCATCGAGTTTTAATATTAAAGAATATTTTATTAACAAAATTTTTCATTAAAAAAATAAAATTTATTCTCTTCGATATATATATATATATCTTAAATAAATATATATTAGTAGTTTTTAAACTGATCAATCATATAAACTAATAAAAATATTGTTTTTTTCTTCGATTTTATCTTCATAGTTAAATAAATGTTATATTAAAGTCTTTGATCATTATTTTATTGACATGTTTAGTTATATTCTATCATATTCAACATTTAATAATAATGTCATTGATATATCTACTATCTACATCGATTCTACGACAGTTCAATAATAATTATTTTCTTATTTTAGAAATAAATCAAGTTTTACTGTTAAATTTTTCATAAATTAAATCAATAATATAGAATATCCTATTGAAAGTTTTTATTGTAAAATCCTAATTAATTCAATAATTTTAAACAAACGTTTAACTATAATTAAATAATCGAGAGACTAACGCAAGATAAATGAAAATAGATAAAATGATTTATAATGTTTCGATTTTGTCACATGTTACATCCATAATAAGAGTAGCACCAGGTGGAATAGCATTTCCAGCACCAACATCTCCATATCCATATGATGGAGGAATTATTAATTTACGTTCTTCACCTTCACATATACTAGAATAAGACAATATTTTATTTATTTAAACAATAAATAAAACAAAATATGAAATATTAAATAATAACTTAAGTAAACCTTGATCCCATCCTTTAATAACTTGTCCATAACCTATTTTAAATACGAATGGATGACCACGATCATATGATGAATCAAATATTTCTCCACTAGATTTTAAATGACCCTGAAATATATATTTTATTTATTATTCAATATTATATTATAGAAATAAAACACTTCCTATATATTGCATATATAATGTATCTCCAATTTTTGATCGTCTATTACAATTTTCAACCTTTTTTGTTGTCATTACTTGTAATTTTTCTTCAGCCAATGATAATACACATCGAAACAAACAATATATTAATACAAATAATATTGAAATGAACAAATTTAACTTCATTTTAATCTAAACAAAAAAAACAAACAACTATTTCAACAAAGAAAATCAAGAAAATAACGTAACGATAACAAATAGAAGAATGAAACAAAGTAGAGGTCAATCTAGAAATAGATTGACATGGGCCTTTTTTTTTTCTTGCGTTCTTGGTAAGATAACATTCCCATCCTCGTATTCCATAATATATATGATTATGATTAGTCTTTTATCTAGACAAATAACATAGCTATATACATTAATAAAACCAATTGTAAAATAGTTGAAACAAACAAACAAAGAATAAATTCTATATTCAATACGAAATATATTAATTATTCAGAGAAACTTTATCAAATTAATTTTGATATTATCAAAAACTAATCAGTAGTCACTATAGAATAATGACAATCGTCACACCAACATTAACATTGACATTTGTCTTATACCGTAACAAACAAACAAAATCACTATTTTTATTGTTTCTTTTCTTTTTATGTGTTTTTTTTAAAGTCAAATGACAGAATATTGATCATCTAAAATCATCTTTATATTGAGACTCTATTGAAAAAAACAAAAACAAAATATAATAATTGAATTTATTTGAAACATTAAATAAAATAAATTTCGATAAATCTTATTTTATTTATTTGTTTTTTTCCGAGATTAATTTATAATAAAAAACAAAACCAATTGAATTTCGTTATGATGAATATTATTAAGGTTTCTATCGGTTTTATTCAGCTTAATAATTGAATTTCTTTCATCAAACCAAGAATAACAAGCAAAAACAGTAACTAAAAAAACAAATAAAAATTCTTCATTTCATATTATTTCTTTGCTTGCTCTATTGAGTAAAACTAAAACAAAAGTAAAAAAAGAGGCACATGGATCAATATTCATCTTCTTATGTCTCAGTTATTCCACGAATAGTTCCATCTGAATATTCATCAAAGGTAGAGTTTTTATCAAACGATAACAATAATCAATGAAAATAATTCGATTTCATTTTAAAGAAAATTCCAATGATTGATCAAGTCAATAATCAATCTTTAGATAAGAATTCTTTAATAAGATATACAAGTCCAACAACAACAATCTTAAATCGTTCAGTAAATAATCGTCCATTATCAACTAGATTAAAAATAATTAATAATAATCAAACAACAAATAAACAAGAAAGTCCATCACTTAATCAATCATTTATATTAAATAATCTTGAAAATTCTTCTAATGATCGAACAAAGTTTGTTTATTTATTTAATAAATAATTAAATAAATATAAATATAAATATAATATAGAACTGGTATTTATCATGAACCACTTAAAGATAATAGTGGAGATAATATTATTTCTCGAAATTCTTATTCGAAATCTTCGTATCCAAATAGTTATGATTATGGTTTATATGAAAATTTAAAAATAAATTCAAATAAAGATAATAAAAATGATAGAATATATTCATATGGATATATTATTATTATTATTGAAATTATTATTGCTTTTATTTCTTTAACAGCATTAGCTATTTCCATTTATTTACTTGTTAAAATAAATAATTCATAAAATTATAATTAAAATAAACATTTTCTTTTTAATAATAATAATATCGAAATTTGTTCATATAAAACAAAATAGATTATTTTTTACTTTCAGATAAATGATTCAAATAAAACTGATTTATTGATAAATCAAAATTTATTTTCTAAACATTTTTATAATAGATTAGTTTAGATCGATATTATATATTAAATCATAAATGATGAAAATTAATTTTAAAATTCTAATAAGAATATTAGTCATAACAAACTTATTTTGATTTCGTATGATATATGCAAGATAATATGAACATTGAAGATTTTTATTTCAGATTTATTCTAGTCATTTTAAAACAATAAATAAACTTTTAGTTTTCATATCTCTATGAAATTGATAATATGAATGTTCAGTGTTTTCCTCATGAATAAATTCATTATTTACTTGAAATTTTGAACAGATAGATACTGATATTCCGATTATCTTATTTCAATATCTTAAATCTATTTAACATAGCTAAAATTAAAATTCGATTTAACTAAATGTTTTTGTTTAGAGCGCATTAAAACTTCAATTTGTTTGATCAATCGAGTTTAAATCAAACGTTTCAATTATGATCGATGCTATTCATTTATATGCATAACTGGTTTATAAAAGTCCAAAAAGAAAAAAAAAATATAATATAGAAATTGTCAAATCAAATGATAATAAAAAAAAGTTAAAAATCTAAATGAAATATTTCAATAATAAAAATCTATTTAATTTTCATCGTTAAAATTTAATCTTTCTAATTTAATATGTTGGTCTTTTTCTTTGGTTTTTGTTTTTTTAGGAATTATTTTAATCAATAATAAATAAATAATAAATAAACTAAATATGATAATAAAATAAAATTGATTAAATAAAAATAATATTAATAATAGAAAATAAAGGGCAATATAGTTTTTAATATCGAATTCAACTTTAGAATATTTAATTAAATAATAAGGAATATTGGCAGATATTCTCCATTGTTTCCAAGTTAATTCTTGACATAATGAAAGTTCACTTTCAATTTCAAATGATAATTTATAAGCTCTTCTAAACCATTCGTTTGTTAATTGATCAGCCTTAAAATACAAATAAAAATAAGAAACGAAATTATCTCTAAATTTCTTAATTGAATAAATATAAATAAATTACTTTATGAAAATAAAGTAGAGTTAAATTATTTCTTTGTTCTTGTGAAATATCTCTTGATAATAATATTTTTGATTGACAAACAATATCATATTCTAATTTATTTATTTCAAATTGAATTTTTTTAATAAGTTTATTATAATATTTGATTATATTTCTATTGATTATTTCTGATTTCCACCAAATATTATTTGATGAATAAGTCAAAGATGGATTTGATATCGAATTATTTGATGATGAAATAAATGAGGGAGGTATCGATTCCGAAACTAACTATATTGGTTTATATATAGATAAACAAGGTAATGATGTACAAGTAACATAATGGACTGGTATTGAATTATTTGATGTTGGAATAACTGAAACTAAAGATCCTGTTGTTTGATTAAATTTAATTGGTCCAAATCCCGCATGCATACATATATCAACATTAGTTAAACCATTCGATGGAGAATTTCGAGAATATTGATGATCACGTAAAACATTAAACATATCAATAAGAGTAAATTGAAAAGATTTTTCATTTGATTTCTTTGATAAATTTTCAATTAAATCTTTCGATCTATGTTGTCTTATTTGACCAGATGCAAAATGAGTTTTAATAAAAGCATTATAAAATTCTTTAGGATAAAATGAAAATCCAGAATAACATTTTTGAAAATGAAAATCTTCAATTGAATGACACCATCGATTTTCAATAGCTTGTTCAATTAAATTATTTGAATATTCATCAAATGTTTGAATATTTCCAAATGAAATAATATTTGAAATAGTATCAATTCCTTTTATTATTTTTTTTGCTGCATATTCTTTTCCAACTGTTTCAATAATCCATCCTTCTTTAGAATCAACTAATAAAAAACTTGAATGATAATAAAATTTTGATGTAAAACCACAATTTCCTCCTTGTCCATATTTATTTAATAAATAAATAATTGTTTCTTTTCCTTCTCGACTTGTTGAACATCTTTCAAGTACTAATCGAACTAAATCCATTCCAGTTAATCCTTCTCTATAAGATGGAATTTTAGTAAATAATGCTTCATTTCCAATAACAAGACCATGACAATTAAAACCCATTTCAGCACCAAATATATTTCGAGGAGAAAATAATATACATGAATGAGTTTTTTCAACTTGATCAATTTC